TCAGATCAGAAATAGATACATATTCATATTCATACTCGTACTCGTGTTCAGAGTTCACATATCCCATATGATCATACGTGGTACATCCATTAGTGCTAACAAATCCAATGACCCATATTTGGGCGGCCATAAAGGCATTTCGACGACTTATGTGTACATTAATGTTTTCGATGACCTATAAAGGGACGACCATGAAGGTATTCTAATGACCCATAAAGGGACGGCCATAAAGTCATTCTGATGACCCATAAAGGGATATATATCATATGATGCTAAGGATGTCACGAATACATTTCAAAGAATCAGACCATCATTCATTTAATCTCAAAATAGCATTTTAAGAAACAGATCATTTCGTATCATTTTTTTCCAGAAAACAAATCATATCATATCATAATGTTCAGAAGATATTTAACATTGAACATAGCTTTACAAGTTATTACTTACGATAGCTCTGATAGCAGATCAGACGAATCAAACAAACCAAACGGGCTAAGGCGCATGACCTACACAAACACATAGCGGATACATATTGAAATAAACATTCGGAAAACACTTAACTCATTTATTTTCTATCTTGATGTGTTTCTAATCCTTATCCTCATTATTATGTCTTAATTAAGGCTTAGAAATGCCTAGGATGCAATAAGGATGCCAAAATGTAACTTGAAACACTTAGTCAAATTTTCAAAAACAGGACAGTCTGCTCGAGTGCAACTTCGGTTGCTCGAGCGGTCTGCAAAAGTACCGGTTGCATGATTTTTACACTCGACGGTCGTTTGTCAGTCACTCGAGCCAAAGACTGAGTAAATAGGGTCTTCGCTCAAGCGCCACTTCCTACGCTCGAGCGGGGGGCCAAAATGTAAGGGCAGTCGCTCGAGCGTAGGTTATGCCGCTCGAACCAACCCCCAAACTCTGCAAAAGTACTGGGAGTTCGCATTCTTCGCTCAAGCGCAACTTTCTACCTTCGAGCGAAGAGCACGAATTTTGAAATTTCTAGATTGCTCTTCCAAGTTCAAAACTCAGTTTTAAACCTTCAAAACACATCTTTTTGGGCCAAAACTTAGTAAAACATTGAGAAACTCATAGTACATGATGAATTACAAACCATTTCGCAAAATCAAGCGCAAAAGCTTTGCCAATTGTACAAAACAAAACTTGATACTTAGAGAACATAACTTGCATGTAATGTCATGAATTCCAACTTTCCACAACATGATCAAATGAGTCATTAAGCTTAAGAACATGTTGAATTCTTTTAACAAAACCAAGATATGAACATGCATGTGAGAATTCTTGTAAAAATAGTTTCAAAACTTTATGATATGCACATGCATGCATAAATGTTCTTATTTCCTACCCTCTTAAGCTTAATTCATGCATTATTCAACTTAATTCTCTTGTATTTATGTATTTATTGCCTTGAGTTTAAAGTATAGAGGTATAATTCTTACCTTATGTCTTGAATTTGTAAGAATTCCAAGTTGATCCTCCCAAATTCTCAAGGTCTAAATAAACCTAAGTCAATTGCTCTCAAAACCCCTTCTTCTACTTTACTCTCTAAGCGCTCTCTCTCTCTCTCTCCCTCTCTCTCTCTCTCTCACGTTTTTGATGTCAAAAAGATGATGAAGTGTGTATATGAGGCTTCTACACTCATCTTAAGCCTTATATAGGCTTCATTAAGACTTAATTAACTTAGCTTAATTAATTTGAATTAAAACTAATCACTTGTACTTATTTAATTCTAAGTATTTGCTTCAGAATCGAATTTAAATTAAACCTACCATAATTTTCTAAAAATTCTAAGTAACACATATATTGAGTTAATTTCGTAATCGAATGCCGATAAAGCCTTTAATTCGCATAATGAAACAGAAACATAGATACATCTTTCTACAACAGACAGATATAAATGTAAATAACATCTAACACATGCAACTAATGTAGAAATTCATCTTAATTACATATGAAGCAGTCTTAATCAAGGATTATGGGCTAATCACAGATTGGGGTTGTCACAGCTTCATCCTTAGTTCAAATTAAATAAACATAATTATATCTAGTATAGTCATCTATAAAAGTGATAAAATATATTTTTTTCACCTCTAGTTTGAATTAATTTAAAATCACAGATGTCACTATGAATTAATTTAATTGGTTCAGTACTTATTTCAATTGAATAAAAAGGAGTTTTAGTTAATTTTGCCTCAACACAAATTTCACATTTATGATTTGGATCAATCTCAAATTTCAGTAAACAATCCATATTAATTAATTTATGCAATAATTCATAATTAACATGTCCTAATCTACCATGCCATAAATTTGAAGACTCGAGCAAGTAAGAAGAAGATGTAGTTTTATTAATCATAGATAGTCATTACATTCATTTTGAAAAAGGCCATCATTCATGTAACATTTTCCTACATAGACCCCGTTTTTGGTAAGTACAAATTTGTTACTCTAAAAAACTAGCATAAATTCATTCTTGCTTAGCAAAGATTTGGAAACAAGATTCTTGCGAATGTTCAGTACATGCAACACAATGTTGAGGGTGAGTTCATTTTCAAATGTCATCTTCAGTATAACCTATCATTGTCCTTCGACTTTAGAAATCGAGGAGTTGCCCATGAACAATTATTCTCCATTGTCCACTACAGATTATGAGGTGAACATCTTTTTGTCGGCACAAATGTGACGAGTAGCACCAGCATCCACCAAGCATTCTTTGAGATTTCTGACAAGGTTGACCTTGGAGATAGCTGTTGAAAGGTTTATGTCATCAATGCCATTGGAGATTCAGTCCACTTCAGTGACATTGGTTTAAGTAGGTTTCTTACTTAATTTCCTTTTCCTTTCCCCTTGCTACGACAATCTTTGGCCCGATGTCATTCTTTGTCACAGATGTAGCATTTGTCATTAAACTTGAATTTCTTGGTTTCTCCTCCTTTAGAGCCTTGTGAGGAACTTTCTCCGATATATTTTCGTTTCTTTGCTTTTTGTGCATGTTCCACTACATTAGCCGTTGACTACATAGGATGCTTTCCAACTCTCTTCTCACAAGTTCAGTTGTCTTCCTCAATCCTCAAACGCACAATCAATTCCTTTAAAGTCATTTCTTTGCGCTTGTGTTTGAGATAGTTCTTGAATTCCTTCCAACTTTATGGTAATTTTTCAACTAGGGTAGCAACTTGGAAGGACTCGCTTAGTGACATGTCTTCAGCATGGATGTCATGCAGAATGAGTTGGAGATCTTGAACTTGGCTAATCACAGTTTTTGAATCAACCATTACAAAATCTAAAAATTTTTCCACCATGAATTTCTCCGAGCCAATATCTTCTGCTTTCTATTTTTTCTCCAATGATTCACATAAATTTGGGCTCAAAGATAGCCCAAAATAAGCCTATAAAACTAAAATTTCCAATAATGTGGTGTAATGTCATTGAATAGCTAAAATCTTTTTGACATTTTATTTTGCTTGTTTTTCTCCTTTTTTTTTTAATTTTTAATTTTTATTTTAAAGCTTTTAATTCTAAAAAAATCGTGAAGTTGAGGGTTTGATTGTGTGGGTGCGAGTTGTAGTAGTAGATGATTTTTTTCACTCTTTGATCCTCTCTCAGTGCACTTCACCGACTTGTATTTTTAATTTCATATTTTTAATAAAAATTTCTTTGCCGATAAAAAAAAAAATCACATTATCACTTATATATGGTATCATTATCCAATAATAAATTACATATATAGTAAATCCCAAAATATTACATCTAAATTGTGAAATTCATCTTCCATTATATAATTTTAGGATAAATTACAAATACACCCTTCGAAGTTTGCTTAAAACACAAATCGTCCCTTATGATTTTGAAAATTACATTCCATCCTTTGAAGTTTCCAATTTTATAACAAATGACTCATTTTATTAATAAATTATCAAGTCAATTAACATTTTTTAATGATATTAGAAATATATTTTAATTAATAATTTAAGTAATTTTATTATTTTATACGAGAATAGTTAAAAATTTCATATTTTGAATTAATTTTGTCAAATACAAAATTCTACCAAGGGAGTATTTATAATTTTTTAAATCACAAAAAAAACATACTTTAAATAAATCTTATGAAATGTATTTATAATTTATCTATAATTGTTTATTATTAATCAGTGATACATACACCAAAAACAAACACATACAAAAGGATAAAACTAATATGACAGCTTGAACTGTGGCGAGCCATCCATCAATTACTATGTTGCCGTCGTTGACTGCATGCATTTATAAAACTAAAATATATTAATGTTCCAAAATGAACTTCATCAATTGGACTTGAAAGCTGAGATTATGCCTTTGATGGAGGACGACCTGAAGCAGCAAAGAGAGAAAAAGATTGAGATGTGGAAGTTAAGCAAGAAGTTAGAATAGGAATGGCTACAAAAGTCTAGGCAGGATTGGAATATGAAAGGTGATAAAAATACAAGATTTTTCCATGTTATGGCTACCTGTAGGCAAAATCGAAATTCCCTTAATTCAATCACAGTGGGAGATGAAGTCATTGAGGCACCAGACCAAGTTAAACATGAAGTGTGCTCATATTTCTCTAATCATTTCTCCGAGACTTGGAAGCATAGGCCAGTTCTTGTTGGTGATTTCAAGAGTGTTCGGCTTAGTGATCACTTCTCTTTGCTCGAGGTAGAGTTCTCGGAAGAAGAAGTCTGGGCAGCAGTAGCTGATTGTAATGGAAACAAAGCTCCTGGGCCGGATGGTTTTAACCTTCTGTTTTTTCAAAAGTTTTGGAAGATGGTTAAGGGGGAGGTGCTTAACTTCATGAAGGATTTTCACTCCAGTGGCAGATTACCAACTTGTTTCAATAGTACATTCATCACACTGATTCCAAAGAAAGAGAAAGCTGTCACCTTAATGAGTTTAGGCCTATAAGCCTTGTTGGCTCTGTGTACAAAATTCTTTCCAAAGTTCTAGCTTCCAGGCTTAAACAAGTTATGCCTGGGATCATTGGTGACTCACAATCAGCTTTTCTGGGAGGCAGGAACATTTTGGATGGAGTTTTGGTTGCTAATGTTGTAGATAGTTGGCTTAAATCCAGAAAATCTGGGCTGCTGTTTAAACTGGATTTCGAAAAGGCCTTTGATTCTGTCAACTGGGATTTTCTTCTCTCAATGTTATCAAACTTTGGGTTCGGTCCCAAATGGAATTCATGGATCAAGGAATGCGTTTCTACTTCTAGAATTTCAATCCTCGTAAATGGCTCTCCAACTAAGGAATTTAATCCACAAAAAGGTCTCAGGAAAGGAGATCCTCTATCCCCTTTCCTTTTTAATTTGGTTGTTGAAGCTCTTAACATTCTCCTCCTCCGAGCTCGGGAGTTGAATTTGCTCAAAGGGGGTCACCATTGGAAATAATCAAGTTCAGTTGTCTCATCTCCAATTCGCAGATGATTCTCTTTTGTTCTGTGAAGCGGAGTTCTCGGAAGTCCTCACTTTGAAAAGGATACTCAGGTGCTTTGAAGTAGTGTCAGGTCTCAAAATCAACTATCATAAGAGTGTGATTTGCGGGGTCGGTATCCCTGGCAATACTCTAGAGGAGTTTGCACATCTGTTGAATTGCAAGACCCATAGCTTACTACTCAAGTATCTTGGATTGCCGCTGGGAGCTAATCCCAAAAGAAAGAGGATGTGGAAACCAATTGTAGATAAAGTCAAAATGAGGCTTGCTGGGTGGAAAAGGAGGTTTCTCTCCCATGCTGGGAGGTTGACTCGGGTGAAAGCAGTGCTGTCAAGTTTGCCTGTATTTTACTTGTCTCTGTTTAAAATACTTGAAGGCGTAGCTAAGGAGTTAGACAAAATTCAAGCTTCATTTCTTTGGGGAGGCCCAAATCTAAAGAGGAGGATTCATCTTGTTAAGTGGTCGGAGGTAACAAAGAGCATAAAGCAAGGAGGATTGGGCATCAAACGAATCAGGGATGTGAACGTGTGTTTGCTACTCAAATGGTGGTGGAGATTTGCCTCAGAGCATGATTCATTATGGAAGCGAGTCTTATGTAGTAAATATAAGTTTCTAGGAGGGTCTTGGATTCCTAACCTTTGCTCTACAATTCATCATTCTAATATCTGGGGTGGCATATTGGCAGCAGCAGATAAGCATGAGTCCCTTCTGTTGTTCTATATTAGTAATCTTTATCTAAAAGTGGGGAATGGTTGTCGTATTAAGTTTTAGTATGATCAATGGTTCGGGGTTCATTGCCTCAAAGATGCATTCCCCAGGCTCTTTCAACTGTCCAATAGTAAGGAAGGACTTCTCAAGGACTTTGTGTCAACCACATCTTCCATTTGGGTGTTTAACTTCAGAAGAGCCCTCTTCGAATGGGAAAAGGATGAACTTCACAGACTCATTACCACCTTAGCTACTCCTCCTCCCTTGAATCTAGGAATGGATGACAGAGCTATGTGGGCAGCACTTCATCCGAGCAAGTCTTTTGTTTCCACTCTTTATAATCATTCTAATCTTGCCTTGGGTAACACTGTTCCTTCTAGTGATTTGATTTGGCTCAATTATCTACCACCTAAAATACAATTTTTCGGTTGGCTCGCTTGGAAAAACAAGGTTAAAACTTCTGTCTTCTTACAAAGGATTGGCGTATTGGATAGATCGGCTGCCACCTCATGCCTCTTTTGTAACTCACAGCAGGAAACTGTCCAGCATGTTTTGATTCACTGCCCTTTGGTGTGGAAAGTTTGGACTGGGTTATTACAATGGTGGGGTATTCTCTGGGTGGTTCCTGTCTCTGTTGAAGATCTACTGCAGTGGTGGGCAGGGTTCATCTGCAAGAAAAAGGAGAGGAGAATCTAGCGTGCCATTCCTTTGGTCACCCTCTGGTCCATTTGGAAGATCAGAAACGAGTGCCTCTTTCAAGCCTCCCATCTTAACACCTAGCTGCTGCAGGAACTCATCATCTTCAGGCTAGCGATCTGGTTAAAGTCCTCCTCCAACCACTTTCCATTCTCCATAAATGATTTCCAATTCAATGCTTCAGGTGTCAGGCACTGCATTCACACTTGAGTTGCTTTGGTTGGCTTGGTGTCTGCGTAGTGTAATCATGCTGTGTTAGATTTGTTGCTGCTGTAGTGTTATTCTGCAGGTTCTATTTTATTCAGGTGGTTCTACCCTGTCCATAGTGTAATTCTGCAAGTTCTGCTGCATTTTTGGTTCAGTTCATTTTGTTCATATCAGTTCCGAGCTGCTGCTGTTCCATAGTGTAATTCTGCAAATTCTGCTGCTGTCCATAGTATAATTCTGCAAATTCTGCTGCTGTCCGTATCAGTTTTGCTTTTAGTAGCTGGTTTGGATCAGTTCTGTATTCTTGGATCAGCTCTATTTTGTTCATATCAGTCCCGAGCTGCTGTTGTATTTTTGGATTTGCATCTTGTTCATATATGTTCTCTTTTCTTGTTGGTTTCTTGCCAACTGGAGCTTGAAGCTTGTGTTTAGCTTTTAGCTCTTCTTTATTGATGTTTTTGTCATACTGTGTATGTTTCATCAATAAAGATCTTTTTCTTCGCCGTTCAAAAAAATAAAATAATATCCATTAACTGTCCAATACTAAGCATTAGGATTGTGCAAAATATGATTGAATTTGTTAAAATTGTACTGATTTGTATTAATTCGTACCGTTCTATTTATTAATCACGATTTTAATTTTAAAATTTATAATTTATCTTCAAAATCACTCCATTCGCTATAATTAATATATATATTTTAACCTATAATGAAATATCAAAGTAAAAATGAGTGTGGGAAATAATTAATATGTGAAATTTATTACAAATTAGTAATTATACATATGAAAAATATTATACAAATTAGTATTATATATTATGCAAAGACTTGATAATTTGTTAAAATATTCTTCAATCCGCCAATCTATCCAAAACAGCTCAAATTGCAATTTATCAATCCGTCAATCTACTATTTGATTTATAATTTTACTCTCAAAACGTCGGAGCCACCGTACCGCGCACACTCCTACTAAGCATAATCCTCAGTCCTTACATTTACAATAATCCTATAATACAAATGGAATGCAAACACTAACACATCAAAAATTTTATAATGATTATATTTTTATTTATTATTGTGTTAATTTAATGAATCTCATTATTTATATATTTGTTATCAATGTCAACACATGAAATAGTAAATAATAGATAGTGACAATAATAAGTAGGTGTTTGGAAAGTTGCTATTTTAATAGGCTATTTTAATTTTTGGCTATTTTAATAGGCTAAAATTTTTATGTTTAGGAAGATAATTGGATTTTTTTTTTTAGTTGTATGTGATGTTTGTGAGACAAAAAATGAAATGATTATGAGTTTGATATGATATTGTCTTATTGACTATTTTAGCCTTTTGTCATTTTTTGAATTTTAACCCAAAAGTCAAAAAAAATCTTTGCCAAACACCCCCTAAATCTAGACGCCCAAAATTTTAAGGGCAAATAACACTATAATGGTATCAGTAAAAATAGATTATAACTTGATGGTAAAGTTTATAAATTTTAATAATTAAATTTATAAAATTTACAATGAATTTGTATTATATTTTTGTTGACATCACTGGATAATAATTTTTCCAAAATTTTACCATGAATTGTACTATAAAAAGATATGTGTGGTGTAGATTGAATTATTGTAGGATAGGTCTTCAATTATTGATTTTCTGGATAAAATTCTAAATAAATTCTTCATGTATGTAGCATTACTCGATAAAATAATAGAATAATTCTAGAACCACAAATGTGAGGCAAATAGTGTGGGGACCACATGTGGGTCATTCGTCTCACATTTGTATTTTATTCTTGAAACACATCTATATTCATAACACTTTTCAAAAAAATATGATTATTATAACATTACTATTAACACATAAAAAAAATTGTTTACCTTCCGTTTTGTGTCTAATGTTGCTCTTTCATTGGGAATTTGTAAGAAAATTTTAATCCTTCGATTTGTGATTAGATCAAGTACACAAGAAATTCTAGTCCCTACACAAAGATTGTACCTACACTACTACTCCTAGCTAGACAGATACAGATTGTTGTTCTAACAATGAGGCTAAACTTAAATCAACAAAACTGGCAATTAAAACAATGGTTCTAGCTTGTGTAAGTGTGTACCAACTTTATTTTTTCAAGAGTAGCACTTGTTAGTGGAAAAGCTAGTGGACATTTCACTTGGACAGGGAGAAGAATCCCACACCAAATTTGAAGGCAAACTGAAGGGAATTCCAACAGATCTCATAGTCCCCCACTGCTCATCAAAATGTGCCCCATTTGGGTCCCTCATCAAATTTATCTCTTCTCCATGACTTCCGCTGCCTTGCACTTCTTGTGGTAATGCTATTGAGAAACCATTACACTGCTCTTGCAATCCACTGAACTCTGTGCTCTCAGAGGCTTTGCCAAAATCTCCAAACATGGTAGTAGAGGACATGTTTAGGAACATGGAAGGTTCATCAACTGTGCACTTAGAGGGTCCCGGCAAGTTCACGAGTGACGAACCCATCTAAGTAATAGGAAATATAATGTCATCTCATAACTAATTCTTTGATATTAATAAATGACTCATATAAGTTAATTTAATTACTAATTCATCCAATAAAATAATCCTACACACAACTTGGGTTTTACATTTATATTCATAACACTTTTCAAAAAAATATGATTATCATAACATTACTATTAACACATAAAAAAAATTGTTTACCTTCCGTTTTGTGTCTAATGTTCCTCTTTCATTGGGAATTTGTAAGAAAATTTTAATCCTTCGATTTGTGATTAGATCAAGTACACAAGAAATTCTAGTCCCGACACAAAGATTGTACCTACACTACTACTCCTAGCTAGACAGATACAGATTGTTGTTCTAACAATGAGGCTAAACTTAAATCAACAAAACTGGCAATTAAAACAATGGTTCTAGCTTGTGTAAGTGTGTACCAACTTTATTTTTTCAAGAGTAGCACTTGTTAGTGGAAAAGCTAGTGGACATTTCACTTGGACAGGGAGAAGAATCCCACACCAAATTTGAAGGCAAACTGAAGGGAATTCCAACAGATCTCATAGTCCCCCACTGCTCATCAAAATGTGCCCCATTTGGGTCCCTCATCAAATTTATCTCTTCTCCATGACTTCCGCTGCCTTGCACTTCTTGTGGTAATGCTATTGAGAAACCATTACACTGCTCTTGCAATCCACTGAACTCTGTGCTCTCAGAGGCTTTGCCAAAATCTCCAAACATGGTAGTAGAGGACATGTTTAGGAACATGGAAGGTTCATCAACTGTGCACTTAGAGGGTCCCGGCAAGTTCACGAGTGACGAAAATGGGTAGGCTGTGGGAAGGTCTCCAAGTGAAAGAGGTTTGGTAGCCATGTGGTTGATGGGCTTGTAGTAGGAGGGAACATATAGAGGTGGGAAACTGGCAGTGATACATGACTGTTGAAGATCATTGTTAGAGCTAAATTGGAATGCTGAGCTTGATTTGTTTGGTGTCAGTGACATGTTCTCTGAAGTGAACTGAGTACTGTGAGGTCCTTGAGAAAGTATCTCAGACGTGGTTGTTTCAGGTAATATTGGGGAGACCCATGATTGTGAGATACCTCTTTGTGCAGTAGAGATAGTTTTCTTAAAGATCCTGCAAATTGCCCATGACTCCTGCAAGTCCAAAGCAGATATTGTCTTAATGATATACCTCATATAACAACAGCAATAACAACAACCTCCTCCTCCTACTACTACTACTACTACTAATAATAATAATAAGTTCATAAACACATAAACTAAATACAGAATCAAACACAATATATTAGTGAACAAAATCTTCCAAAAGTGGCTGGCCCCAATAACGAATCTCGTAAAATCTTGTCAAATCATGTGTTTTTTTGTTTGATTCTGTATTTGATTTAGATATTTTTTAAACTTAATAAAAAAAAAGTAATAGGATAGAGACACAAAAATCAAACACAAGATTTTTCAAAAGCCGTTTGACTTACTAACAAATTTTATAAAATCATCAACCATCCATTTTTTGTGTTTGGTTTCTATATTTCTAGACTTCTCACCTTTTTTATTTATTTATTATTTTATTATTTTTTTATTAAAAAAAAAAATGGTATTGAATAGTACTCTTGAAATGCTTTACATTGGGAGGTATGTTTTTGTCCAAGAACCTCTTGTGTGGGGATGAGATGGAGTCAGAGACAGTGAGTGAAGAAGGTAAACGAAACTCATGCATCATCCAGTCAGTTTTGATCCCTTTAGCAGCTCTACCTTTGTAGAAAACAAGGGACTTCTTCAATCCTATACACTTCGAACCTTCTGAGGAGTAGATGGGTCGATCAGTTCCGGTGGCTTTCCAAAACCCAGCTCCAGTTACTCGGTTAGGCCTTGCACTGTTTCTGTACTTCCGGTCCCTCGGACAATAGAAGTACCATTCTTTCTCACCAGTTGTTGCCATTTCTGTCACCAAAGAAGGGGATAGAGATATAACATGTCAAGTTGTCTTTTAGGACTAGTCACTAGGGTAGTAGTTATGTTTTTTTTTTTTTATCAGTAAAGAAAAATTTCATTAACAGTATGAAATTAAGAGTACAAGAAGATGATGTGCATCAAGAGAGATTTGAAAAGTACAAACTACCCCTACTACTGCTACTCTCATCCAAACAACCAACCCCTCAGTCTCACGATTTTTTTAAAACAAGAAAATAAAAACAGAGGTTAAGAAGCGTAGTTATGTTTGAGAACATGTTCTAATGGAAAATATTTTCTAAAAGCGTAGTTATCTTTGAGAGAATATTTTTAATAAAAAATATTTTCTACATTTTTAGATAATATTTTCCTATATTTGGTTGCAAGTGCTAGTGATGGTGTTACTGGTGGTGGTAGTGGGTTGGTGATGGTGGTGGTGGGGTGGCCAAGGCGGTGGTAATTAAGGTGGTAGAGGTAATAGAGGAACTAATAGTGTGGTGCCATTAGTAAGATTTTAATTTAGAGATATTAAAAGTAAAAAATATTTTTATTAACTTCTGTTTTTTTGTCGTATCAAATGTCAAAAACAATGGAAAACATTTATAAAAAAATATCTTTGGTCGAAACAAACATATTAGCTTGAAGATTGTCTATGTATTGTGAATGAGCAAAAACACATATAATGTTTATTTTAGTGGTATATTAAGATATATTTGCATCGGCAAGCCAAGAACAAAAAAAAAAAAAAACTGATAAATTACATACATATTAGTTGATAATTACAGTTATACTGTGTGATGTGTGGAGAACAACTTCAATATGTGCATAATAATGATAATAGTTAGCACACAAAAGATGAGATCAAAGCAGATAAGCAAGATGCCAAGCATAAAATGGAACATGAATTTTAATCCTACTTGGGAGATCCCATGGATCAAACTTATAGATGTCTAGTTGCTTGATGATTTCAATGGAGAGCGGTCGTTGCTGAACCTTCCTCTTCAGATAAAAACCAACCAGTTCCTCATCGGTCGGATGAAACCTAAACCCTGGCAGCATGATTTCATCCATTTTGTCAGTTTCACCTCTCTCATCCATTCTCTCTCTCTCAACTTAGAAAGAACCCTAGAAAGAACACAGCTTTAACTGTCTAAAAGAGGAACAAAGCTCCAACTGTGAAGAAACCCTAGAAAGAACCTGAACTCCTGATGATCAAAAGAGATGGCCAGAGGGAGATTCAAGAAACCCACAAGAAGTTCACTTAATTTGAAGCCATTATATGCTTCCTGAGAAGGGTTCTGCCTCCGAAGGATCAGCCACCTTTTCTGGTGACTTTAAAGGAGCTTAGCTGTGTGTGTGTGTTTAACTCACAGTCAAGTCACACAAAGAGAGAAGCTTAGGGCAAGCTCTTTAAGAACTAGTACCAAGAAACCGCAAGTCAAGGGATATGGATTTTCTAACAAAGACTCTTATTTCTTACTTATGTGCCCTCCATCAACCCATTTGGTGGTTTTGTTTAGTCCAAATTGAGGAATCTCAAGAAACTTGCAAATCAGCAGTGTCTTGGGATCATGGTTGGTTGTTAATTTCATGTTTCTTATAATAATACTTTCATGTCAAGACAAAGAGAAGTTCCAACTTGATAGTTTATTGATTTATATTTTTAATAAGCTTTTGTTTGAAATGGTATTTGGAAATGTGAACCTAAACCACTTTCAATGCAAAAGTTCAGAATTATATTCAACTGTCAAATTCCAATGTGACTGACTGCAATGAAGTTTTATTTATTAATTTTTAGAGATAGTTTTCTCAAGATCCAAAAATCCCATTTCTATTCCATTCTCCTAAAGCTTCTATTCCACTGACTTGTCTGATTGAATGAATATACTTTTGTGCCAACTATTGGACATGCCCTAGAAAGGGACGTGGAAGTCTATAGCTACATAAGGGACCACACCTAGTCTAATTAGTTTAACCTTTTGGCCCCACAACCTATATTTCACAGTTAAAACTCCAGTCTCCATCCACATGAGCAAAGGTTGACTTTCTTGATCTTTTAGCAATGGTTGGGAGTTGGACTAGGGACAAGAAGGAGCTTCTAAATACATTTTGTTTTTTTGATAAATTGCATTAACACCCCTGGATACCTCTACAATAATATTGTCCACTTTTTTTATTCTGTGAAATATCATTGACATCCTTTACTTCAAAATTTTGTGTAACAGATTTGACTTTTTTGTGAGGCAACCGAAAGTTAACCTAACGGAATTTGTTGATGTCGTTAGGTTAAAAGTTTAAAAATTCAGAATTTCCTTTATCTATTTAAGTTATTTTATCTTAAGAAATTAAAATTTAATATAAATAATTAATTGTGTCTTCCAATCATGTTATGCCACATAAACTTTCATTTGAACATAGTTTAAATCACATAACCCTGGGTCACACCCCCACAACCAACCACCATAACCAAAAAGGTAGTCCAGCTCTGTCCTCTTATAGTACCCTATTCATTCACTATAGCAACTCAATGTTTCTAGCCTCTTCCGTTGCCAACTATCATACCCTACCATATGAAAGCAAATTTATAATTAATTTAAATTGAAAAATATCATTACATTCTCACTATTGGATAATATAATAAAGAGTATCCAATAATATTTAGACATGTATGCTATTAATAAATTTTTTAATACATATAGCATTTTCGTTTCATTAACATTTGATGAAATGATACCTTATATAAACTGTCCTTTTATTGCATTTTCTTACCTAATGGCCTAGCTCATTTTCATTCTATCAGTTTATAATTATATAAAATAAAAAAAAGACTACTCCAGTTTTAAATTTCAAAATTCATTGCCATATCGTTTTATATTTGTCAATATTTTCTTATAATTTGGTTATAAGGGTTCAACATGCTCTAAACTTTAATTAATCGAATGGTAGCTCAAATTCTATCTTTGAAGTCTTAAGTTTAAGTCATACTATGTAAGATTAACGAGTGATTACATGTATTCCCAATTTACACTCCTAACTCCAAAGGACTGTAGACACCCCATTTTTGACCGACCTTAAGACTCAGACGTCACTGATTGAGCACTCGGTGATGTTGCATATTGTGCTAGTTCTGAAGTTTTAGAGTCTCGGCTGCGAGCCTTGCCTCTAGACTTCTGGGCTCTTTTGTGCTTTGCCTCGGTTTGCGAACCGAGTTCCGTTTTCTCCGTTTTCTCTTCCCGAAGGGAGGGAGAGGTCTCGTAAACCATCTCTCAGTAGCCGTAGGTTACGTTTTGTGGTCGTAGGCCATTTTTCCCGTTTGGAGCCCAGTTTCCAGTTTTTCGGAGCCGTTGGCCATGTGCCTCGGTTCGGGACTGCCTAACCACCTCCGTTTGCTCCGATTTTTGGTATACACCTTATTTCCTCCCTTTTGAGGGACGCTGTGGCTCGAGAGACCAACTTCGTGGTCGAATGCCACCTCCGGTGTTTAACAGCCCATTTTCGGGGCCCCAGGCTGCGCGTTTCGGTCCCCGAACCTCCGTTTTGCATCCGTTTTGGTTCATTTTTGGTGGAGACCTTATTTTCATTGTTAGAAAGCTTGTAGGAGGGTGGGAGGCCAGCAATTGTTCTGAAAAGCCAGCTTTATTTCTTCATCGCTCTCCGTCGCCCGTTTTCCTCACTAAAAAGCTAATGTTGACCACTCCCGGGCCACTTTCTTTAGCCCTAAACCCCATATTTGTGTTGTACACACCTGGGAGGCCACCAATATGTATAGGCCAGCCAGTAATTGTCCTTGACCCTTTTGAACCCTTCTAAAAAGTTGGCTTTTCTCCATCCTGGTTCACATTTTCTAGGTTTCGACTACATATTTGTGTTGTGCACATGTGAGGCCACCTTTTTGGGGTGGCCGACCAGCAATCTTCATTGACCCTTTTGACCCCTAGCCGGCCAGCCATGAGGGGTGGCCAGTCAGCCACTTGAACCTTTTGAACCTAGCCGGCCATGATCCTCTCTCCAAGTACATTCCAGCTGTACCCTCTGTTTTCTCCCAGATTTTGTATCGGGGGGGCTGCCTTTGGGGGGGAAATTTGAATTTTTTTCCCCCCCTTTCCTTGCCTCTCTCCCTCTATAAAACCAGCACCCTAGCTCCATTTTGAAGGGTTGACAAAACCAGCTGGGGCATTGCATACAACTCTCCCTCTCCCTCTCTTCCAAACCCTTCAAACCCTAAGGTTCTTGCCCCCTTTACACTACCACTCATAGCACCACACCTCCACCCTCCATTCCATCCCTTTGAAGCTGATTTCTAGAGGCTAAGAGCATCATTTCTTGGACCAAAAGTTGTTGAAGACTTAGGCTACAAGGGTAAGTCTCTTTTCCCTTTTTTTTAGCTCTATTTTGCATGCTTTCTTAGCCTTTGTTTCTTGAATTTTTGGGCTCCGGCCCAAACTGAAAATAGTCATATTTTGAGCTCCTTTTCATGTTTGATCAAGGACCTTTTACTGTTTGAGGTCTCCTACTGCCACTTGCCTCTTTATCTCTCTTTTAGGCCTATTTTTGCATGGTATTTTAGTCTTATTTGTGAGCTATTTTGGACTTGGTAATAAACTGTAAAATGTCTTTTTTTGAGCCCCTCTTCAACTTTGTTGAAGGGCTCTCCTCTTTTTGAGGCCATCTGCTACCACTTGTCTCTTTATCCCTCTCTTAGGCCTTTTTCTTGCATGTTGTTTTAGCCTCACTTGTGTTTATTTTCGAGACTTGATATAAACTGTAAAGTGCCTTATTTTGAGTCCCTCTTCAACTTTGTTGAAAGGATCTTTGCTATTTGGGACCAGATGCTGTCCCTTGTCTCTAATCTCTCTTTTAGGGCCATTTTTACATAATAGATTAGCCCTATTTGTGTTCACTTTTGAGATTTGTTATAAACTGAAAAAAGTTTCCTTTTGACATCATCTTCATGTTTGATTAAGGGAATTTTCTTTTTTGAGGTCATATGCTTCCTTGTATGCTTGATTGTCCCTTATTTTGAGCCTTACACCTAAGCCTCAATTGCATTCTTTGTTTGGACTTCTAGCCACTGAAATCTAGTGGATTTTCAGTGGCTGGAACACTGTTTTGAGAGCCAAGATTAGAGGCGGGTGACCCCCTCTCTCCTTCTCTTGTTTGGTGGCCTTTTTGGCCTTCCAAAGAGACCGTACATTGCATGCTTCGAAGTCACTTTCCAGGGTCAATTTGGTGAGTTTTAGGACTACCATATTTGATTTTCATAGTTTTTTATGCCATGCTAAATGTCTATCTTGCATGTGCTTAATAACTCCTCGCATGGCCCTCTAAAGTAACTCATCATTTTTGCATGTGTTGGCTTCATTTCAGTGATTATTTGGGCCTATTTTCACATGTTTTGTTCACTAATTTTTGCTGGTTTGGTAAGATTCCATATGCTTCACACACTTGCCATGTAAACCATGTTTGCTAGTCAAAGTTGCATGCTACTTTAGTCCATTTTGTTAGCATCTTTTGGCCATGCTTTGAACTGGAAATGTTCATTTTTTGGGACTTCCTTAGCTCTGTCTTCATGCTTCATGATCAAATAATGCATGCTTTGTATAGCTACAAGTCATTCCATGTGCCTAGTTTCGAGTTTCGGGGCTCATCTCATGCATCGGGTGCCTTTTTTCCACGTTTCGGGGTTGTTTAGCACGATATTTCAATGCTAGAATTACATGCTTGTATGCCATATTTCATGCCTTGCCATGCCTTGTTAGAGTTGCATACTATGCCTTAGGTTCGGTCCTCTAGGATCGGTCCATGCATTGGACATATTTGTGTGCATTTCGGTTGCTTCATTTCCATCTTATTGGCCACTGATGTGAGTGTGGTTGAGGCCCACTTGCATTGGTATAAGTCCATCATGCATTGTGTGTGCCATGTAGTTGCATTGCATGTTCGCATGTTTGTTTGCATGCTTAGGTCGCATGTGCATCGTTGTGCATTCCCTTGCCTCTCGATCAACCATGATAGGGGTTGGGGCCCTTTGATGTGTTTTGTGCTTGCATTTCATTTGATATTGAAGTTGCACACTTGGCTTTTGGGCCATCATGTATTGAAATGCGTGATTGATGGCCCGAGGGTCGAAGGCCATGCTCCCTTGACTCCATTACATGATAGGGAGAGTGGCTATGCATACATTGCTTTGAATTTCCTTGTCATGCACTGTCTGTCCTCTGCTGCTGTCAAAAACAGGTTCTGCAGGAAGCTTTGGCCGGCCGGCCACCTATACTGCCGACTGGCCATTAATTGTTTGCCGATGGATTTAAAAATGGCCGATAACCATCCGGACATGGCCGGTGGAAATCCCACTCGGTCGGTGATGCTCCCTAATATCCAGAGAGTGCTCCTTGGGAGTTGCACAATTTTCGGAGGAGCAAGGCAGTGTAAATAGAGGCAACAGTGGCAT